TCTGTTTCGCAGAAAAACCCGTGAGCGGGGGGGGGGGGGGGAAATGTCAAGGGCCTTGATCCATGCGTCTCACTCACGAGTAGACCTGGAGACCCACTGCTGGCACTGCATACAGCTGCCACTGCAACTTAACAAACTGAGCAGTTGCTTCGATGGCTCTCACTAGAAGCTTTTGTTGCTCACATGGCTCAGAGAGCAGGAAGGCGCTCAGCAGCCTCCGGGACTCCAGAGAGAGAAAGAAGTCAGGAGGTAGGAAGAACCGCCCGGGTTCGCATACGTTACCGGAACGCTGGAATTCTGGCACCTTGTCTGTGTCTCATAGAGATTCTTTTCTCTATTAGCCAGTCGTTGCCGGTTTCCAAGGCCTGCAGCAGATGGAACAGGGTATCTCCCTGCAGCCCTGCAGACTGATTGCCCTGGTCTCCAGCAGCCAGTTGTCACAGGTGTCGCTTCTGGTGCGCTTTCTGTCACCCTCCGATTAAGGCAATTACATTGGGGTAGCCTCGGCAAGCCTGAATGAGGTCATTCCGGCTCCTCTTGTGCCTCGTCCGGCCCCAGCTCCTCGGCAGAAGAAAGCCCTCGGCTGTCTCCTAAAATGGCCGCCCCTGGTGAAGACAGCCTCTGTCTATAACATGGTTGTTCTTCTCCAAAAAGGGTTAGAACATAGGGAAGAAGAGTGAAAGAATTATCGGAAGTATATAGAAGTCGTTAAGATAGAAGATATATGAGGTTGAATAAGGAATTTAGAGTTTTAAAGATCAGATAAAGGCAAACCCTGATCTAAGCTGCTCTCCCGGTTGAGGCAGGAAAAGAACTGGAGGAGGGCGACTCCTACAGGCAAGAGACAGGAAGTAAAAAAAAATGTCCCTGCCTCCCTGACTGGACAGTGGGAATCACCCCAGCAAGATGTCCTCCGCCTCACAGGGAGGAGACACGATCTATGATTGTCATCCTGGACCACTTCCACTCCACAATCCTCACGCGTTTTGAAAAGCGCCATCCTACCGATTTTGTAGGTAAGAGTTTTTGAAGTTCTTTGTGGAAAACCTCACTGGAACTCATCTTCGAGGCCTCACAATGCAGCTCCATGGGAAGCATGTCCTCTTCTCCTCACAGTGGCAAGAAGAGAACCAAGGGGGGAGTGCTTGCCCCGCCTCTGGCGCGTGACCCTTTGGGTGGGAAAGAGATCTCGGCAGACGGAGGGGAGGGGGAGCACTTCTACAACCTAGAAGCTTCTTCAGAAAAGCTTGGAAGCTCTTCCATGCAGCGGGCCTGCAGTCATGCAGCCCCCATGTGGGACTGCACGGAAGCCACAACGATGAACTTGTTGTTAGGAGGAAGATACAGATATTTATGACATCATCCACAGAGAGGTTTAAGTGGTCAGTCAGTCAGTCAGCCTTTATTGGCATAAAACAATACCTTAAAAGAGGATTACTATAAAAATATACATATAAAACCATACATATAAAACCAAGTATTTTGCAAACTACATAGTATTGCATAATCTAACATAAAACAATTTGTTACAAAGTGTTGTTCATTTTGATAGTTTTTCCTGACGTAGCTTTTTAGCTGATTGTAAAAACATGGCTACCTTCACTGATATTTCAGGAGTGATTCAGAAGATGGTGCACTTTTAAGGCATCAGGAAGGTCTGTCATGTTGGCTAAAATAGGGTTTAAATATCTAAAACGTATATCTACATAAAATTGGCGGTGCAAACAGATATGTGAAACTGTCTCGATGCATCCAGAGTTACAATGGCAAAGTGTAGCCGTATATGCTGTATTATTATATCTCCCATGCAAGACTGCTGATGGTACTGCATTGACTCTTACTAATGAAGAGGCTCTGTGCTGTTGTGGTGCTTGTGTATCAGATAGGTATGGGGCCATTCGGCCTACCGTGAGGGGAATCTCAAAGTTCAGAGGGGAGCAAGATTTGTTGGATAAGCTGTATGGCCTTTGTGTTTCAGTGCCAAGGACTCTGCGTTTAATCATCTGAAAAGCACCCATAAAAGGGAGCATAAGCAGTGAGTCCAATGGGATGCCCATGGCAGTTATTTTGTTCTCAATGTGTGGTAGCCAGTTAGATGTGTTTGACGCTGTGAGCATGTGTTGTATAAGACTCCCTTGGTCTACATTGTAATGTAGATGCAGCCAATATTTTACTGTCATTAGCCAAACACCAGATTCCGCAGAATTTAACCCAGTTTCTAAACATAGAGCTGCATAAGGTACACAGCGCGGCATTCCCATGATCTTTCGAAGAAATTTAGATTGAACACGTTCTATTGTGCAATTAAGTGCACTTATCCATATTGGAATACCACACGAGTCGGGGGATTACAGAAGCATTTATGTTGGCCATATTTATTGCTGAATTATGCTGCACAGACCAAGATGCATTATACTGGAAGTGCAGACCTAAGTATCTAAAAATTTTAACTTGTTCAATTGGTTTGCCTCCATTTGAATGGTTTCCAAGTTTTGGAAAAGATAAGTATTTTTGATCTTTCAGGGTTTAAAAGTAATTTATCTGTTATAAAATAGGAAAGACATCTATTTAGTGAAAACTTTGAACCAACTTTGAGTAATTGTTTTTTGCATAGAGCTATCATTCCATAAGATCCTAGGCAATAGATAGAGCTTGTCAGGTTGGTGTTGGAAATAATGTTAGGTTCTAGTAAAAAGGCTGACATTGAGAGTTAAAATAAGTGGAAGATTGTCACTGATTATATAATCGCCAACAGTGAGATCTAAAACATGAGATTCCAATGAAGGGGAAACTATAAAATAGCCAATTACACTGCAGCCCTTTGTTGAGACAAATGTATATTCTCCAGATTTAGGAAAGTTGGTAAGCCCATTCAGCCAAACTTTATTAAACTGAAGACAAAGTTTGGCGAGATAGATGCCTGCCGAGTTTACCTTGTAGAGGTGAAAATAGGTGGGAGTGTATCCTCCTGATTAATTTCTATAGCCTTAAAGAATATTTTATGATCGTTGCCTACTCTAGCATTAAAATCACCTGCCAGAATTATTTCAGCCAAAGGATGTTCTTCTTCTAGCCTTTCTAGAAGAGTAGTTAGTCATTTCCAATGTATTTCTACTTTTAAATATAAAGAAACAAACAGAGCCAAACCCACTTGAAAGCGACCCTTAGCGTTAATCCTGTACCCTGGGAGGGAAAAGGATTTATACCCGTCAATCTGAATCTGATTTGGCAACCAGGTTTCCTGACGGAGTATAATATCAAAATCATTAAGGTAACTTAGAAATTCAACAACCTTGGCCTTATTCCGCCAGCTGGCCACGTTCCAAGAGATGATCTTAATATCCAAAGTAGTAAGAAAATTTAGATGACAGTGGTGTAGAAGAATTTATGTCAGTCTCCTTTGGTTTAGTTGTTCGAGGGTGCTGCTGGTGTCATAAAACACAGACCCATTGCTCATAGAGGTTTAAGTAAAAACAGTAGATTTGAGCCTGGGTTTCAAATCCTTCCTCAGAGCTGTGCAGTGAATGCTATTCCCACCAGCAACGAATGTTGATACAACTATATATTGTGAATGGCAAGCTGATTTTCTCTTAGCCTCAGTTTTCCATTGGCGTATGAAGAATAACAGCACTTAGTACACTACTATAAAAATTAGCTTTCTATCCCATCACACTGGCCACTTAATTTACAGGGAAAGTGTTGGAAATATGTGTGTTGCAAGGTCTAATTTAGTCATTATAGGGTTAATCTGTTTACCCTGTGTGCTATTGTTTAGACTGACCTGGAAGGGGAACCTGGCTCAGAGCCAATGGGAACAAAGCCCAGGAAATCTAAGTCTGTTTACTCACAATCATTGGTTAATATATTCAGGTGATTTCCTTCTAGGGGTCAAGAAGGAGAAGAATCTCCATTACAGTTGTTGTTGTGAGACCGTGTGGTCGGTCTGTTCTGTAGCTGTAGAGATGTAGCCTTAGGTTTGTTATTTTGTAGCTTTTCCTGTGTACTCTTCCCTTAGAAATGAAGGTTTTTACAAAGAAAGAAATGCCTCCTCTCCCATGAAGCAAAGACCCATTGCAAACTCTGAATATCTAAGTATTTTGCCAATTTTTCCAACAGAAAGTCCCTGATGGGACGCTGCCCTGGAAGGCCACGGGCAGACAGCAGCAAACAGAACCAAGCCCCAGTAGCTCTGCCACCATTGCCACAGAGGCCAAGCTGCTTAGACCCTTCAGCAGCAACCGTGACTGGTGTTTGCTTACCAGCTGTCTCTTCCTTTACCCAAACTGGCTGAGAGCCATGCAGGAAGTAACACTGGTGCTGCTGGCCAGGCCTGAGTTGAGTGACCCCTGCAATCCTGGCATGGAATGCCACAGAAGCCACTCTGCTTGGTGGTTGTTTTTTTAAGGGGTTTTCTGCTATTTCACACTTTATCACCATACCAACTATGATACAAAAATGAAAGAGACATATGGTATATGTACTCAAAGGGAAGACAACCCCCCTTAAAAATGTTATATATACACAACATTATTACTTGACCTAACTGTAACTTGTATGTGAATGTAAGGAAACCCCCTCCCCTTTTGACGGCACACCTGGGAAAAATGTAGTCTAGCAACTTAGTAAACAGGGCATTCCGTTAAAGATCCTGCAGATATAAATTCAACCAGAAGTCCCTGGACCACTCAGCTTGGTCTGCTCGGGACTGTTTTAACTTCCAAGCTCACCGTGTTACATACCAGCTCAGCTGATGCATGCTCCAAGTCTTCACAAACACAACACAGAAAATACTGATTTTTAAAAATCTCACCTGGCCTACAGCAGATGAACTTGTTAGTAGAAGAGGAGCGCATTGAAACCTGGGCAGGGCTGGCTTCTATGCTGAAGAGTTCATCTCGTCCAGGCTTGTCCATCTTTGCTGTTTTCATAACACCCTCGCGTGCAGTCAAGTATTTCCCTTCTTCATCCCTCAGGGCCACTAAGCCATTGTTCAGTTCCAGGGAATACAGAGTTTGTGGGGTGACGTCCGGCACCAGTGAGCCATCAGAAGCCAACAGCTTGCCAGCCCCAGTCCTCAATCCATACTTCTTCACTGAAGACAAAGGCAGGAGAGACAATGTGAGAGAACAACAGGCACTTACTTCCAGGAAGCAGTGTCCAAATAAATGGCAGCAAATTAGCATGATGCCCAGTCATCATTTCAGTGCAATTTTACCGCAGAGATGTTCCTGAACTGCCATATATCCAAACACTTTCCAGCACCCACATTTGTTCTTTCTTCCTGTAACCTTTCCCACGGTATTCCTCTCATCCACAATCTCTTAAATCCTTTCTAAGATAGTGTAGTGGGTCTCAGTCTCTTGTTTTAAAGTGTTACTTGAGATTCACTGGATCTTATTTTTCAAAATAATTCCAGAGGGTTAGGCATAGTAGTCTATTTTGTTTTATGGGAAGGATCCTGTCCAGCTTTCCTGCTTGCTGTTGCACAATTCCTTTCCTCACAGCTGTTCCCCACCCCAGGTAACCTTTGTCTATGTGACTCCCATACACCCAGCACACCTTTTTTGGAGGTCAAAACTGTCCCCCTCCTCCTTTAAGCCAGTGGAAGAGCTGGAAAAATCCAGTTCATTTGTTTGACCTGAAAATCACAGCTCTTCAACAAAAGAACTTCATTGTCCTTAATATTTGTAAAAATTGCCCTCTGTATTGTGTTCTTATAATTTTATTTTCCTCTTTTCCCCTTACCTCCTTTCTTTAGTCTGTATTCCTATAAAAATTTAAAATAAAATTTAACAAAAGAACTTCAAAGGGAGTCTCCAATGTGAAACGGTTGAACTGGACTTTATTCCAAAGTTTAACACTACACCCCTCCCCCAAGGGGACTTAGGAGTCTTATCTCACTATAACAATGACTATTTAATGAAACCTGTGATCCTTACAGATGTCAACTAGCTTACCATAGCCAGTAGATTACCTCTGTGTTTCATCCTGATTAGATCGCAATTTTACATAATCACATTTTACTTTGTACTTATTTACATCCTTCATTAGTCACCTTTCTACCTTGTGGCACTCAAGGTGGCTTACAATACAAATAAAACCTCAGTTATCAAACACATAAAAGTGTCAGTTTACAATCTCAATTAGGACTGCCACTAAATGCAAACTAAATTAGTCAAATACAGTCCTATATAAAAAATGTCCTCAGCTGCCTCCTGACGATCAAAAGTGATGGGGCCAGGCGTCCCTGCATTTTATGATTCTGTGTCCTGGCTGGTTGTTTTCTTTCAAGCCTATGTAAAATGTATGCAGAGAGACAATTCAGTCACAGCCTGAAGAAGTGGGCTGATAAAAGCTTATGGTGGAATAAAATTGTGTTAAGTGTTCATGGTGCCAAAAGACTCCTGATGGCATTTGCTACTTTTGAAATGAAGTTCATATTTGCTTTGCACCACTTGGGTTCTAAACACTGTGTCAGTCTTCTTGTCGAGCCTATTTTTCTGCTAACTGGGGGCAAATTCATGACATAAGAGCTAGACATCCCCAATTCAGATACAGCTGGGAACAACAACACAAATGCAGTAGAGATGTGCATTCCTGTTATCACTGAATGTAGACACATGCCTTGATCTGCATCACAGAGGGAGGCTGAAGTGGATGCCTTGCGCTTGAATGTGTTCCAGGATACAGATGTGTGTAGACATTCCATACCCTGCCCTTGGTTCTAATACAGAAAGTAAATCTGTGGGTTGGGGGGCAATTTTTGCCATTTCCATCCTCCATGACAGCCCTCCAACCCCCAACCATACTGCTTTTGGGGGTACTCCACCCCCGCCCCCGGAAGCAGCATTTGGGAGTTTATTTTGGTCTAATGCAGGATTGGCGAGGTTGCTGTTCTATGCATGGATCTTTTTGATAGAATAATGATTTGCAGTAAGAACACTATCAGTTACCCAGGCTATTTAGTGCTGTTAAATAAATTGAAATCTGTGCCATTCACAGAGATTCCTGGGTAAGCAGAATTTGAATTCACCTGGTATGGGGCAGAAAAATTTCCTTCTTTCAGCATTGTTTGTCTCCGACTGAAGACCTATTGAGGAGATGCAAATGACTCAAGCTTAACTTATTTACATATCAAAAACATGGACTGAAGGCTTGAAACATGCCCACACAGACTCACAACTAGGGCACTTTTGCTCAAACTTTTAAATACTTCTTTTTCATAGAAACACTATTGAGTTGCCCACCCTCCATCCGCCTTAATACTACCATGGTTTTTATGCATTGAGCTCTTCATGTGCAGTTATGTGCACAGCTCACTGTTGTATGCAAGGAGCTCTAGATAGGATATTATTCCCACAGGCAAGCATCAGAGTAAAGCCAAAGGCCATCCTTAGAGGAAAGTAACAGGTGCAGTGAGAAAGGCTCTCTCTACCTGACACAAGATTCTCTGCATCTCTGGAATGTCACCCTGCCACTTCTGGTTTCCTTTCATACTCTTGACAGTCATCCCCATAGTTTGAGGGAAATGGAACTAAGGGCTCATACAATCATTTCTGTAGGCAACGGGAGCAAGGATAGTAAAATGAGATGCGCTCACATAGGTGCGTGCTTCAAAAACTGAATTTTAACTTTGTTTCATTATTTCAGAAAGGGCAAGATTATCATTTTCCTGAAATATTGTGAGTACTGGTACCATCTAGAAAATCTATTTTAGGAAATTATTTCAGGTCTGGGAGCACTGACCAGCTCTACTTCCACAGCTTTTAATGGGCTGTAGACCTGACCTCCAGTCCTAGAAGCCAGGCCTGTCGCCCTCTGAAGTCCAGATGGCAGGTGTACCGCTCATTGAAACCAGCAGAAATACCGTATTTTTTGGACCATAAGACGCACTTTTTCTTCCAAAAAAAGTGGGAGGAAAAGTGAGTGCGTCTTATGGACCGAAGGTTCAGAATATTTTTTCCCCCGTTTTCCTCCTTTAAAAACTAGGTGCGTCTTAAGGTCAGGTGCGTCTTATGGTCCGAAAAATACGGTAATCCCCCAACTCTGAAAATTTCAGGCATGCCTTTCTTCATTTTGGGTATTTCCAGTCCATAAGCAAATTTCAGGCACTGTTTTGGATGAGAAATATCTGAAATGCAGACCCTGCAAAGGAAAGGCCTGTTGGCTTTTTTCCTTTTTAACTAAAGGTTAAAAAGATCTGTGCTGTGGGTCCAGAAAAAAAGCTTTATGCTTTCTTTTTTTAGAGTAATGAAAAGGTTCTTTAAGTGGAAGGACATTGCAGTGGGGGAAAAGACAGAAGTCCATAATTATTTATTTCAAAGGCTTACGTGAATGTTAATGCAATAAAGGTGGTTAAATACCCTTTGCCACACAATAAACTGAATCTAAGTAGAGCAGGAGGAGCAGAGCAGGAGTTTCCTGCCTCCCCACTTCTCCTGAGCCCCCTTAAATTCTGTTCCTGGGAGACAGGGGGCCCTCACAAACAGTGCAGGAGAACGAGAGAAGGCCTGCAGGATGGGGAGGAATTAGCAAACACGGCCCCCTCCCACCAACAGAAGTGCCATTCTGCTAGCACAGATATCACCTGTGGATCCAACTGGGCACATGAAAGTGGGGGGAGCTTCACTGACTTGTGATGACAGGGCAGTTGCTGGACCATTGCCCCTCCCCCCCATGCACACATCTATCACAATAATCTTGGCTATACACTTCTCTGGAAGTCTGGATTTTAGCCAGTACGGCTCAAAGAACCAACACTCCTCCTGAAAATGGTTTGTCACTAACTGCGGTGTGTGGAGAGAGCAACAGGAGGAGGACTAGTCTGTCAACCATCTCTGAAACCAGATTACCTGCTTAACTACCGAAGAGGGCTTTCTGTACAGTCAAAGCATGTCTCATGTATATTTAAGCAATTAGGTGAAACTCACTCAAGTTTTGTCAAGTTGCAATAACGTAATTTTCCATTGCACTAATCCAGACTTTTTTTTTTAAGTGCTGGAAACCAGCAAGGTGCTCTCACTACCTTTCTCCTTCCCCTGAAGCAAAACTTCATTAAGAAACTTCTCCTCTTATAGTCACACACACAAAATCCAAGAATTGTCCGTGACCCATCTTGTCACTCAGAAAACAAGCTCTTGCATTTGCTATCCACTTACCTTTTCCTGTAGAGATAAATAAAGCAGGTTGAGGCCTAGGGAAATATGACTTCTTTGGAACTGAAGCACAATCTTGATGATGGTTGGGTGTACTACATGCAGCAAATAGTGGAAAATGCATATTTAATATGCAGCAAACCATTTGGGAAGAGCAGCAATGAATGGAAACTATGAGCATTCAAGTTTGGCAGACCAGAGCCGAGCAGTAAAGCTGCTACTATTAGAAGTTGACCCAAATCCACTTAAAATCACCAGGTATCTTGTTATCAACAGGATATAGCACTGATTTGTGTTAGTTGGACTGAGGCCTTTACATTAATTTTTCTGAGATGTATTGACTATTTCCGTTTTAAATAGACTTCTGTGAAATGCAGCATGTTTTGCCTCAGATGCCTTTCAGCTCTCAGCTGGAAAGGAAACAGGGTTGCTTATGACCTTAGTTAAGTCCTCTCTACCTGCTGCATGCATGTTTCTGAGTTTTCAGTCATGCATTTCTTAGAACAGGATTTGATGGCATGAGCATGATCTTGAACTCACCCGTGACATCCTATGCAAAGGAAGAAAGGTGGGGAAATTCCTACACCCACCTTTGAAATCATAGTAGACAGTGATGACTGATTCAGCGCCCCAGGGCATGTCACGGTCACAGCGCAGTGCCCCAGCTTTCTCATCACAGCGCACATAGCGCTTCCTGTTGGGGCTGTACATGGCGACATTGGGGTGCACTGCCAGGTGCAGGGTCCACTTTTCCGTTTCGGTGGCAGCCTGAGCAAAGCAGGTGACGTTTTCCTCTGCCCCACCCAGGTAGCGCTTAGACTGCTCATTCTGCAGAGACACCTGACAGGAAGGAGAGACACCCAAAACAGGAAGAACAGGAACGTTCTCATTAAAAATGAAGGCGAAACTGCTCTGGTGCCCACTGGTTTTATAATCACCACATCACCAACTACCTCCTCATGCCTATATAGCTGCTAGGACTGCATCTTTCCTATCATGTCACGTTTATCCCGTTGGTTCCAGGACCATAAAGAAAAGAGTGACAAGGTCACTAGACTAGGGGAGTGGTTCTCAACCTTTCATGCCATCACTCTATCAAAAAAACATGGGTCCCACCACGACTGGGGGAAAAGACTATTTCTCCTATGAAAGAAAGGTACATGTTTACGGGTATTCTGTCAGTATCATTACCATGCCAAAAGGTCATAGATGGATAATCTGTGGCAAGTAGGGCCGGCAGGAGACAGTACATCACATTAGTAGGTAGACATGAGGACTGAAGGAGAGTGAATTCTTAATAATTGTTATGAAAACCCTATGTCCCACCTAGACTGCTTCTGCATCCCACCAGTGGTATGTGTACCCCCAGATGAAAAACACTGACCTACGGTACATCCTGGCAAGCAGGGCCTACGGTGAATCGTTTGAGCTCGTCCATGTCCCACTAAACCACAGTAGTCGACTACCAGTCTGCTTGGCCAGCAGGGGCCAAGTCAGGCTTTGCAGACCATCGCAGTGGCTTCTCGAGTAGAACACAAGAAAGTTGTAAGACCAAAAGAACCTACTTAATCCTGGTATGCTTTACACACTCTAAGTTGCACATTACAGCATCAAGCTGGGAGCATGGGAAATTGCCTCCTGGCCACAACTCCTGGAGTCCAGTCACTAGTATAAGGGGCTTGCCAAAGACATTCTGGCCCCTCAACAATAATTCTCAAACTCAGCACTCTCAGTTGACTCTTGAACAGAAACCAATAGAGGAAGACAAAACATGTACACCATTAGACAAGAAAGTAGCCGTGGGAGGGACATAAGGGGTGCTCTGTTGGATCAGACCAGTGAGGGTCCATCTCGGCCAGCCTCCTGCTCCAGGCAGATGCCAACCAGTTGCCCTGGGTGTCCAAACAGTGCGCAGAGGGCCTCCCTGGGGTTGCCTCCCAGCACTGGCATTCAGAGGTTTAATGTCTGCAAGTGGAAAGTATCACGTTCTACCTAAGGGACATTTTACCACCACCCAAATCCACCCTCCTTCTGGACGCGGCAACTACTGCGATACAGCTGGGGATATGACAGTTGTGCATGACCGCACCTTGCCATCTGGATACTGTTGCAGGAGGAAGATGGTCTGAGGCCCTGGGTGGTCCTGATCACACGTGACTTTGCCATTAGCGTCGGCTGCCAAGTAGCGCTTCAGGGCACTGAGCAGGTGGAGTTTCTGGCCAGCTCCTTCTCCTGGGCCAGCGGCCCCAGCTCCCTGTGGGGCCATAAACTGAAGAATCCACACCTGGCGGGGCTTCAGCTGCAAGCCTGTGGCTGTCACCTGGAAACGAAAAGGTTCTGCAGTCAGGTATCTGTTGGCAGCATTGACAAGGCCAAATTCCAGTGAAGCCATGGTAGAAACAGGGAGTCTGAACAGCCGCCGCTCTTCGGACCTGCCAGCTGGTCCCACTTCAGAACTATCCCGACCCTCAAGGTCATAATGGGTGCCTAGCAACCCAGTAGATCCACGCCCTCAGCACTAAGCTCCACCCACAGGAGCCAGGTTTGCCTAGGCTACATTCTCAAACGACATGTTTCACTCAACACTGGGGAATCCATTAACCCCTTCACAACAGGACCTTTAAGGAGGCCAAATAAACATCATTCATACAACGATGGACCAGATCCAGACTAAACTGGCAATTTCCACCCATTCCCCGATCCCACAGCGGACACCACCTGACAATTGTCAGGGTCCCCTATCCCCCAGGAGCAGCATTTCATGGACATCAGAGGGCTGCAAGAAGAGGTGGAAGCAGGGAAAGTTCTGTTCTGATAGAAAATTCAATCTGGACCCAACCTGTGATATCCAGAGATTTTCCCCAAAAGGAGGTCTTAATAAGTGTGGTTTGGATGTGCGTTTCAATAGGCATCTTCCCCACACACTGGGACAGAATAATTCTACCACCCACTATCCATCAAGGCTCTTGTCTAGGCACCTTGAACTATTAATAACTAAAGATCAGATCCTAGACTCCAGCAGCACTCACAGAACAATCTTCCCTCCTGTCCACTGCTGTGCTCTTCAAAACAGAGGCTGAGAAACATTGAAGCTTTGGGAACAGTGCCCCCCCTCCCCCAGGCAGAAATCTCAACAGAACAGTTACCTAAGTACGCAGGAAAATATTGGTTTGTACATTGGAGAATAACACTTCTCCCACCCCACAGACAGATAAGTATGCTTACTGTCCTCTGAATGTGGATTTCCTGATTTTTTTTACTGCCCCCCCCCAAATCACGGTCTACTAAATAAATGTGGAGTAATCACTATAGCTGGATTTATACTTCCATGTTGGAAGGGTGGGATACAAATTCAATTAATTTAATTAATTAGTTTAATAAATAAATAAATAAATACCTCATCCGATGACACCTGTTCTAGTCCATGAGAACTGATGCCAGGGCCACAATTCATCTTTCGGTCTTTAACATGTCATTAGATTTTTCCATTTTCATGATGGTTTAGGATCTCCCATCACATACAAATATTTGTGAGAAGGGTGGAGGTGAGAATAGTGCATGATACAGCAAAGGGTAAGTGACCACATTTAAAAGATCATGAATACTAAGTACAGATATGAAAAACGAAGGAGACAGAGGCAAATAAACGTAACAAAACAATTAAGCCAATTCATCTCAAAGGCCTTTACTGCCACCCTCTTGGGACCATCAGTTTAAAGACATTAACCAGCTCGGTGGGATAAAGCAGAAGCAAAAGGATGACTATTGAGGTGGATTAATCTCAAAAGGTGAAGTAGGTAACTCACTAAATGCCAATTCCTAACTTAATTTGGGGAATATTATCCACAACTACAGTGCAATAGTAAGCCTAAACCCACTGAAATCAGTTCTGCCCAGGATTGCACTGCCAGTCTAGCACGCCACTTTCATGTGTTGCAGCTTCTTACTGGAAGAGTTGGCATTTACCACAAGAACAAAGAGATTTATCATTATTGGCTCTGACAAAACTGCTTTCACAAATAAGGATGCAAAACCCCCAAACTTTACAAAATAAATACCTGGCCTCAGCCAGAACTCCGACTGCACCCGACTCTGGCTTGTTCCTCCTTTGGTTTCCATTAGTGTTCTTGCCTTGACACTCTAGGCTGCACTCAAGGTACTCGGTGTTGCTTCAAGATGTTTTAAGTAGTTGTATCTCATTTTACGACACCTGCCATTTCCACTCCATGGAGGTTTCTGTGTCGACCACATTATAAGCTCCTTAGAGACCCTAGTTCAGTATGGTCTGTATTAACTGAAACTGGCATCTTTCCTAGACCCTAAGATTCACTGGTTAAAGCCAGGTACGTAGCAAAACATGTCTAACCACTGAGCTATAGCCCCTCCAATGGTTGCCATTGTAGAACCTGATTTTTCCAAAATCAATCCTAGAAATTTATTCGGGTGGGGATATAGTGACACCTACATAAGAACATAAGAGAAGCCAATGTTGGATCAGGCCAATGGCCCAACTAGTCCAACACTCTGTCACACAGTGGCCAAAAATACTAGGTGCCATCAGAAGGTCCAGCAGTGGGGCCAGTACACTAGAAGCCCTCCCACTGTTGCCCCCCCCCAAGCACCAAGAATACAGAGCATCACTTGCCCCAGCCTGAGAGTTCCTACCTATACCTTGTGGTTAATAGCCACTGATGGACATCTGCTCTATATATTTCTCTAATTCCCCTCTTTAAGCTGTCCATGCTTGTAGCTGCCACCACCTCCTGTGGCAGTGAATTCCATGTGTTAATCATTCTTTGGGTGAAGAAGTACTTCCTTTTATCTGTTCTAACCTGACTGCTCAGCAATTTCATTGAGTGCCCAGGAGTTCTTGTATTGTGAGAAAGGAAGAAAAGTATGTTGCACCATACACTGGGTAACTTTGCAATGAAGCATATTACACTTTCAGAGACTACTAGGTAATAACAACTTTCATGTCCTTTAAGAATTCAGCCATCCAAACTAAGCAATTTATCAGTTTCTTCCAAAGAACTGGGTCTACATGATATAAAAGTCTAGGCTGATGAAGTCACAGCAAAGACAAACCTCATTCCCAAATCCTCCTCCAAGCACAAATCAACAACTCCTTAAACCCACAACAGAGTTAACTCTGCTTTTAAAAAAACCCAAAGCCACTGCTCGTGGTCATGCTACTTCTATGTCAGATCATTTCAGATATACAGTCTGAAATGTCGCTTGTAAAATACAATGATGAAATAGATGTTTAAAGCTTTTTAAAAGGCATTTTAATTCGTGTACACAAAGAGGTTGTGAACTAGCATTACATAAAAGCCATGGTTGTACAAGGGCTATCAGCCAGCCAAAACTTAGAATCTGTGTTGTAGAAACATCTTCCTTATCTATCCATTCTTTGCCTTTCTGGTCTACATACCCCTCTCCCCCCCATCTTATTTAGTGGAGAGATTTCATAAAACAGCAACACCCCTTCCCCACTTGTTTAAAATGTTACAAAAGGAAAAAAGAAACCATACAATGCAGTATAAAAGATTGACAATATCATCAAGTTTATTACACAATTTCCAACCTATCAGAAAAAGACAAACAAATCAAATCACGAAGAACAGGGTGGGTGAGTAGAGGGGAGCCAATGCTATTTTTCTGTCATTGGTTTCTTTCTTTTCTCCATTTTACTTCCATTATTTCAAAACAAACTAAAATTGTCCTATTATGTAAAAAACAACTCTTCCAATCAAATGTTTTATATTTGATACTTTACAGTTTAAGCCATTACCCCATTTTAGTTTACATAACTTTGTTTTCATTTAAAAAAAAAAACACCAACATTTAGAGCTGAGACCTCTCTGACCAACAGTACAAAAGGGAGGTGCAGCGTCATACGGCGACATCCTTTCCCAGACATCGTTCATCCTCTTTAGGCCTCACAACTGTCTTGGTGGGACCAGACAGGATCCTCCAGCAAGGGGGAGCTTCACCATGCAGCTGGTCAGTCACATCAAGTGTTCATGAATGCAACAGACACTTGGCCTGATTACAGAGATCCAGGTGCTGGAGACTATATATTCCAAGATGAAGAGTGTTATCTTGTTTTTAAGAAACTGGAGCACTCAAACTGGGTCGGAGCACCAAAACCTGTACTCCAAAGGGTTACATCTCAAAGATAACAGATTAACCTAGAGTTCTACAGCCACACCTGTCCCATAACGTTCCTAAGCAGATTTTGACGCTACTGGCCTGAAGGGGCTGCCAGCTTAAAGACTGAGAACCTCCAGAAGCCTTACTTTTGTTTACACAGCAGTTACACATGGTGTGAACAAGCAGCAGCTTTCCACGGCCTCCAAGCATTTCCCCTAGAACAGTATGTCTCAGATCAGCAAAGCTGGTGCCATCTGAAGCAAACTCATAAGCGAATCATTCTCAAGTGAGCTCTGTTTAAATTGGGCTCAGAGCAAGGGAACTCCTGGACCTTAAATCAACACATACATCACATGGAACTTAACAATGCGCTCAGGGTGTGCTGCATCCCATCCCTCTGAGCTAGCCTCAGTCTGACTTGCTCCCAACTCCATGCACTACATCAGTCAGTCTTCTGCCTACAACACTCCCTCTACAAGAAGGAAGGTGGCACTCTAGGAGGGCTGCCCCGGAAGCAAAGGTTTATGCAAGAAGCTACAACTGAAGCAGGTATTTGCATGAATCAAAGCAAGGAAGCTGTAAGCAAATATGTATCACCTGTGGAAAGAGTACCCAGAGCCAGAACAGTTTCTTAAGGGAGACTCCCTATTGGAGCAGGATGACCAACACAGGCCTGTCCAGAAAAAGACAGGCAGAACGGAGATGGCGGCTTTCAGGACAGGGAGTAACACAGAGAGAAGAGATACAAAAGAAGGGTAATTGGAAGCAATAGCCAGCCTGCCCTCCCATTAAAAAAAATATACTGTTTTCTAAGCTGTGTACGATGGTGCTAGAGAAGCAAAACTGAAGCTGTTTTGGGGAAAGGATGAGACTTTAGGAGACTGGATGCTTGAGAAGGCAATGCATTGTGGACTGTGGACACAAGCTTCAGTGAGACTACAGTCAGACATCCTGTGCTGTACTGAAGCGACAGTTCTTCCTACAGGAGACAAGCTGGATGGGTTCCTCCCCAGGTGCTCCTAGAAAGCCATGGAAAGGAAAGAGGTGGGTAAACCTCTGTGGAAAGCACCATTCTCTTTGGGTCCAAGAATCCATGGACTGAAGTGGCCCCTAGTCACAGTGGCTCAGACAACCCCTTCCAAACTCCAAGTCATTCAGTGTTTCTCCATGAAGCAGCAGCACACGACTCACACTGGCAGAGCTCAGATCCCTGTGCCACTGTGCGCCAGATGGAGTTCTGCAGGTAAAGTCTCTTTCCAAGGGGTCCAGAAGGGTCAATGGGAAGTGGGAAGGAGAGCGTGGAGAAGCATCCATCCTTTAGTCTTGATTAAGGACAGGAAATATGAGTCCATAAAACACTGAATTCCTCCCATGCTCCTGAAAGAGACAGAACAAAATGAGGGGCATTATTCACAGTTGCTAAAGCACTTCAATTAAGAATTTTGCACATTCGTTCTTGACAACCAGCCTGTGAGGAAGTAACTTATTTCCCTGCAGAAAATGGAACTGACTTTAGATGCTTGCCCGAGGTTAAGAAGCTCATGGCTGAGCCACACTGGGACTCAACACCCTGTCCATCAAATCACAGTAGTTCTCAAGTCAAATTCTCTCAACTGCAGATCTTAAGCAGGAAAAGCAGCACAACTAAATTTTCTTCATTTCTGAAGTTTCTATTCTACTTGAGACCGTCAATTCACAATGAAAAAAACCCACAACACTGCTTTTCCAGTCATATAAGATAGTCAATCAGCAGACTGGAGGCTGTCTTGAAAGGACATATGAGCTTTATTAATTTTGCAAGCTTACTCCAGAATGCTACTTACAGGGAATCAAAAGAGTTGTGTGTGGTTTATATGCTGAACTAGAAAATAGCATAATTGGAACCTAAGACAATGGAAAGGCCACCCAAGACAGAGTTTGGATTTGGAAAGTCACAGCTAGGCACTGTAGCTAAACTTCACTGTGTCAAACACACACTTTGCAGATGATTTCACCCAAATTTCATATTGACAAAGCTGCTGACTTAAGAGGCATGCATTTCACCAAGGAAGGATTAAACCAGTTTCTGCACAAAGTTTTTTTTTACAAAGCTGTGCCGTGCTAACAAGAGTTTGATCTGGTGATGTCAGCAAACAAACAGACCCAGGTGTCCAAAAGCAGTAACAGGGCAAGGTTAAATGAACACAAATAACTGTGTCTGGTTTTGAAAACATAAGGCTATATGCACACTGCAGCTTCTAGCTCCAGACAGGTACACAGGAATAGTGTATGGGCAAGCTGGAGGAGCACCATAGGTGACGACAGTAGGCGGTGAACTGAGCACAACATAAGCCCCTCTTAAGAGGCTGCGTTAGGTACCCAACCCCTGCACAACTAGCCCAGTCAAACCCCACGATGCCACCAACCTGCTGGAGACAATGTGGGGAACAGGGGACTTTTTACCATGGTTGGTGGTCCTGTAAACTGATAGGTACATTTTGGACTCAAATTCAAAACAAAATCCATATAGTCACTGGTCATTTCATTCCCCCATCCCCGGAATTAATTCTTCCTAATCTGTGGGGAAATTGCAAAATCTCCAAAGCAAAACAAGAACTAATTATGATCATGTTAATCACAGCTATATGTCTTATTGCTTCTCATTGGAAGTCTGCATCAATTCCATCGCTGCAAGAATGGCACTTGAAGTTATGGGATTTCTCCATCCTGGATAAAATTACATATAATCTGGATAGATTTAGTGATACCTCAGGCCAATCCAGTCTCCTAAAGAAATGGCAACGTCTAATGCTCAGGTGTTGGTCTGATCTCTCAAATGATTGCTATGTTTTAAGTAAAAGCCAACACACTGTTCCACTGCCAGTGTAAATCTGTGTTGTTCAACAAACTTCTCAGCCCTGCATTTGTATTTCAAATTTTAATGTGTTTAGTTGTTCACACTCAACTCTACTGATGGTCTGTAACCTTATTATACTGTTCAATATTTCAATTCTGTATACTTGAATGCTTGTTCTAGTGAAATATTGTAATATTATATGATTAAATAAAATATTTATTTTTAAAAAAAAATAAGGTATGATTTAAAAATAAACAGCATTAGATGATAACATTAAAAAAGGAGAGGCTGAGTTAGGTTAAACATACTAAGTTCACCTAATTGTGGCAGCATTGCCAAATGCTACACATAAGGCCTTGTATGGGGAAAAAAGAAATCAAAAGATGCATAAATACATACTAATAGCCTTATCCTGGCTGTGCTCCTTTAGAGACCTAGAGATTAACAAAATTTATTTGCACAGAAGCTTACATGAGTCACAGCTCACAAAAGCTTATGCCACAATAAATTAGTCTCTAAAGTGCTACTGGACTCATGTTTTATTTGGGAAGATGGTCCAGTTAAGTGTTGTTAAATCCTGTGACTGCAACTGTGCAAACTGAGCAGACCTGCATGTTTTTATTTTATTTTACTGTTTCTGCAAAACATAGTGGAGTCTGACAGGAGCAGAGAGGAAAACTGGCCTCCCAGTGACCCAACACACACCCTGGAAAGATTTCTCATATCTCAGTGATGCCGGTCTCTTTCTCTGTCCCTGTCTCTGTGTCTCTCATGCTCCCGGCTTCTTTCCTGAAAATAGTCCTCATGACGATCTTCATTATGGATTGCATCTCGGTGCCTCCTGCTGCTTTCACGGGATCGACTGGGTGACCTATCCCGAGACCGGTGCCTTTTTCTGGAAGATAAATCAGACATCTGGGTTTCTGAAGAAATACCACTAAAACATACACATGAGTCTTCCTTTGAACAAGCACATATTTCTACCTGGCTGTACATAACCTAGGAAGGGAACCAGACTATTCCTTGATGCTGGAAAATAAATCCTATTGATTACTGCAACAATCCTACCTAGTGAAGCTTTACCTGGAGGAACTGCTGCTGCTGCTGCTGCTCCCCATGCTGTAGGACTTGGCTTCAATGCCATGGAGACAATCCTTAAGTGAAGAGACAAGGACTCTGCAGCGCTCATCATTTGCAACACGGGACTGTTTGATCACAACGATGGCTGTCAGCAGAGTCTCAATGGCATCACTAAAATCCCCTGTGACAGAAGAGAGCAAAAGCAGAGTGATCAGGCTAAAGACAATGGTTAAGAACAGAAGAAGGTGGCAGCAACCCGCTGCGGTTTACCTGCACTGGCACCAGACACAGCTTTGGAAATGGCACTGCTGGAAATTGCTCGGTTCCGGTTCATGATTTCTTCAAATTCAGCTTCACTGACAGGGGGTGGCAATGGGCCTAATTCTCGGCTGCAGGACATACATACACATGTTCATTACTCCGATGCAGAAAGCTAATACATACAGGCAGCACTATAACAAAGTTTCCTGTTTACATACGTAGCAATTTGAGGATTTAGAAAAAAAATAACCACTACACAGCTAGCCAAGTTCTCCTCCTGCCCAAAGTAGGTGTCAAACAGTTTACTAAGGGCTATGACTCAAGCTGACAGTGCTTCCCTACTATATTTTAATGAGAAAGGCCACCAATGAGTGGCATGCAGGCATCTGTAGCACACTGGTCATTCTTTCAATGCCCAGCCGCCAGTGAAACACAAGTTTTGGTACACAATCAAGTAGACAAGGCCCCTTTTGTGAATTAGGACCGAAGCCTCACTAACCAAGAGATATGAATAGGATTCACATCGCCCCCTTTCAAGTAGTTCTTCTCAAACCCCCAAGTATAGACTTATGCTCACCTGCTGTGGTTATATGGAGCTGAGGCCTTACTGTAGGCATCTGGTGGAGGGCCCATTGCCGCATTGGGTGGGGGGAAGAAGGCTGGGTTGAGGTGCAGAGCAGGTGGCACTGCCCCCGGAGGTGGCACAGTTAGGTGGGGGGGGAGTCGAGGAGGAGGGGGCATTAGGTGTTGGTAGTGGATGCCTGGTGGGGGAGGTGGGACCCCAAAACTTGAGGAAAGTGGTGGAGGTGGCGGTATTGGTGGAGGTGGTATCCCCATGAGAGGGAGAGCAGAAGGAGGGCGGTTGAAGAAAGGCAAAACAGAAGGAGGCTTCTCAATGCGTGGTGGTGGCACTGCATTCTCTGTTGGAGTGGCTCGGCCATCTACTGAGTCTGAGGAATCCCTGGAGTGAGCCCTCGGAGGCACGCCTGTCAGACATCACAGAAGAGGAAAAGCACGGAACACTGAAGAGGTTGGGGAGGCACGGGAGAGCCAGCCAGTTTCCTGACACAACATCCCCCACTTCCCAAACTCACACACAACCTCAACGTTTGCCCAAAGAAGGGAACTCCCATCTCTCACACTGTGCGAAAAGGATGCTCGCACACGGTCTTGGACCTGACTTGGGTAAACATCAAGAAAGATCTAGTTACCTTCCAGACATCACTGGAAATTAGTGCTGCAGGCTACCTGGTGGAAGTAGCTACAATGTGAACGGATTGCTCAATATCATCCAAGATCACAGTATGTTACATGAAATAATTTTCAGCATCAGCATAGAAGCGGCATGAGGGGAGCCATTTCCCATCATTTACATACTTGGTATCCTTGAGGATTTAAATGTTAAGATTAGTTTACAGAGTATAATTGGCAGTGATTTTAAACTGACTATCCAAGGCACACACACACATGCAAACATTCTCAGCTGTCCTGACAGTACTTCTGTGAGAGAGGCCAACATGATCGTCATTCTGTGGACAGAGGAGGTAAAACCTCTCAGCCCCTAAGGTCACTTGGCCCATTCTTAGCTGAGGCAAGGTTTATCTACAGTATAATGTGAACAACTATGTGACGACACAGTAAACATAAATAAGAATGTAATATTCCTTTCTATGTAAAAAAGCTTAACCAGAAAGAACTTACACAGTTAAATTGGTACTCACAATACCAATTGCAGAACATTAACTTTTAAAGACAAAATACTTAAAAAAAAAAATGAGTCATAGGGTAAGTCAAGGACACACCCCAAAAAGATAAAACCAGAAAGTCCAAATCCTATCACAGACAAGTGTGTTGAATTTAGTTTAAAGAATAAAGAAATCGCAAAAGGAACCCAAAAGACAAACCAGAAAGGTGGCCTGATTAACAGGTCGTCTAAAGATTAATTATAAATATTAGGGGAACACTTAACAACTCACTCCTAGATACAATAGCAACTAAAACAGATGATTTTCAATAAGTGAAGCCAACATATACCCCTAACAAAGGGTTTAAAGACCTCAAGAGTGGTCACACTGTGGTGGAAAAACAAGGAAAAATGCTTCTAGTTCTACTATAATACTAAACAGCACGCCGGCAGAAACATCTTCCCATGTACAGTTATATACAATAACTTCCAGCACTGCCTTTTAGGGAGTGACTGAATGGAAGAGGTCTAGGTTGAAAGCCCAAAAGACATACATGAATCTAAAGCTCATAAGAGCTTTGAGTTCAATCCAGCAAAAGTTAGTTAAAGCTAATGAAACTGAACCTATGGAACAAGTTCAAATAATTTGTCCCACAACTAATGTGAAATGAACTGGGGCCTTTGTCTAGACCAATTTAAAATAAAGTTCACCTATAAATTAATATTATAGGTTGTGTCTAAAAAGACGGTAAGCTTGTAAACGAGTTTTTGAACAATAATGAAAAGTGTCTCAAGCTTTATCATAAGCTATTGAATAGAAACAATTCTCTGCTGTAAAAGCACTCTTTTATTTACTTTATACCCTGCCATTCTCACCAATGGATTCCCAACACAGCTTACAGTATTCTCCTTTCTGCCATTTTATCCTAATGATAACCTTTAGGAAGGCCAGGCTGACAGTATATAACTGGCCCAAGGTCAACCATGGAAGCCCCTCCATAGCAATGGAGATTTGAACCTGTGTCTCCTACCATTCCAGTCCAGCACTCTAACCACTATACCACACTGGTTCTCAATTATGCAGAATGGCTTTCTCTTATGACATTAATGGAATACCACTGATTCCTATTCTTTTTCTATTATAAGGCTTCTAGCACATGGAAATCTAAACACTGTGATCCTAAATTGTTACAAATAACATCATTCTGGAGGGATGCTGAACTATCCATTACAACCATTATCTAAAGAAATGTACTGCTTAAATAAAGTACACAACCAAGTTTATTGTTCTTCCAAGAGCATCCTTAGCAGACAGAAAGTGAAGTATAAAAGTCTAAAATGATAGTATTTATAACCTTGCATTATATGAAGATACACTTCGATATTTAAAAACAAGTTTGCATTATAGAGATATAGATATGTATATACTGCTTGCAGTAGTCACTGCATTACTTTCTATAGTAACTAATTATTTTTACAGCCTGCTAAAGGTAATCTACTACTACAAAGCAATCTCTTGAAAACAAAAGTACCCCACATATACTCTTCCTCTCATCTCAGGGGATTGTAAGGAGACCATTAAAAAGGGGGTGCCTTGATAATTTTAAATTTTAGTTGCTTATCCAAATAGCAAACAAAATTGTTGCCCTTCCTACATAGCATAAGATCAACTGAATGAAGAATGTTGAACCTATCCAAACAATTGTCCAAAAATACTAACACTTGGTCAGTAGAGTTTAAGTAATACTACTACTACAGCATCATACTCTTCAAATAATGCTGTTAAAAGAGTTAAATTGCAGCAGACAATGCACAGTTCCAATACGTACATTCTTTTTACAAAAACAACACTGAAAATATGGGGGTAAGTAACTATAACTTTCATAAGTACTTGGCAACAGAGAACTGTAGGGGGTTGCATTACAAGGGTGCTTTATACTATCTACTGCCGGTCCATGGGCCAGCTGCTTGGTACTGATGAAATCACTGTGGCTTGAAAACATTTCACTTCTTTTCTTCCCAATGAGGCATTATGGTCCCCACAGAAATAATAAAACCATGCTGACCAAAGTACTGTACTTAGAGTCAACTTTATTCAACACAAACCAAGATGGCAATCATATGGAAGGGCATTACAGGAAGTATTTACAAGTATTTACAATATCTGAGTAAAAGCCATTTTTAAATCCAGGATTTTTTAAAAGTTGTGCGTCATCTTAATTTGACTAGGTGGGAATTTTAATATACAGTAAGCTTAAAGTTTAAAATGAGAGGTTTGTACAAAGCTTTATTAAGAGCCTTATTCTAAAGAGAGTACGTCAAACAAAATTTAAAAGTCACAGATTTCTGAAGAGAATGTAAAGACAACAGAACTAGGGAGCATATTTTGCAATCTTGCCCCTTACCTGGCATAATTCTGGGAAAAAACTAAACTGCAAATATAGCTGGGACATGTATTTTTAAAAACATACATGATCACACAACCCAATGACACACAACAACATGGCAGCAGAAATCTGTTATACCACTATCACTTAAGAACTGGTGACAGCAAATCCAGGATACTCTTAAAATGTAAATAGTTTACATTCATGTTCAAAAATAAATAAGTTTCTGAATTATATTAATACTTCACTTTGCGATTACTGGTGTGTAACCACTTTAGCTTGTCCCTGTAATAAATAGGAGATAATAAATGGAACTTCATAGTGTTACATGTGCATTCTTTATCATACTGGTTTTTGTTTTATTGTAAGCCATGTTGAGGGTAGGGAGAGGCAGAATAAAAAGATGATCACTAAAAACAACAATTTTGTATTTCTCAGGCCCTTTGGGCGAGGAATCACAAAGTGGTAGAAGTCATTTACGAAGGCCTTGTCAAAAATGGTGACGTGCCATGGTTACTGTCAGACGTTGCCATTCACCAGCGCGACCTCCTAGTGAAGACAAGATAAGCCCTTTAAGCAGTTTTTCACAGGGAAAAGCTTTCATCAGGGCAAACAGCAGCTCTGCTTCATCTCAGGATTCAGCAACACTGGCTGATGATACCCCTACCACAGATAACATGAGTGTTACGTTAGTCCAGTTAAGAAGAACATTACTTCTAGTACCAATTTGCAGGTATTACTGTAGAAAACCTGGAGGCAGTAAAAGAAAACTGATGCTACAGCTACTGAGGCCATAAAGCCAGAGATTTTAAAGTTAGCTGCAATTATCACAAGAACACAGTGGTGGTATGAGTTAGCAACACATCTTAAACCTGGTCAAGACAATGAATGCAATACTTCTACTACTAATGACCATAGGATCTACAATGGTGTCAGATAATCAAAGTTTTCTTGTACATATGAGAAAGATGGTGCCTCCAACAGCATAATACTCCATGGGTCATCAACACAACAAACAGGAGCATATAATGCCATTAAACAAGGGCCATGGTGAGACCCCAGATGGAGTACTGCATCTAGTACTGGGCACCTTACCTCTTCAGGCACGTACAAATTTTCGAGAAGACCTACAGAGAAGCTATTAATAGGTATGGAGGGTGTTAGCTATAATAGCAGTCTGAAGAGTTTAAGCCCATTCATTTTGGAAAAGGAGAAGCAAGAAACTATGAGGGATCATCATATTATATGAGAACCTAAGAGGATCATAAAGACTAGTCAGGCTCTACTAAGACACAGCAGCAATATAATTGGAAAAAAATAAACAGACACTCTAAGTATTCACAGGTACAGAACTGCAGCTTAAATTGTTTGTCTGGTAATACTAGGATTCTCAGAAATTCTCTCCCTAATCCCCTCCCATTTTCCCAATTCCTCAAACCCTCAGCTAACTTACGTTTTCGAGCCTGCGCTTCAAACTGTGCAAGGTTCTGCCGGGTAGCCAACTTCACCTCCACCTTATCTCCATTGAGTATTTTTCCTGGTAGCAGCTCCAAAAGTTTGTGGACAGAGTTTTCAGAGGCAACCACAACTTCTGCATACCTGTACAGACAGCCAAATGATAATCAACTGAAGAATGTAAAGGAACATCTGTTAATGAACATGACCTAAAAAGTATCTCAGGGAAAAAATGGTGACGCAGGCCTTCATACTTTGTATTCTCTCCAAATTCACTAAACTACTGTGCATTTGGACAACATGTATCTCCTTCTGGGATCATGTGTCAAACTTCGTAGAAGATGGCATTCAGCCTGGACAGGATTTAAGACTAGACAACTAAAGTGACCTTTTAGGCAATCTTAAAAGCATATCCATGTGCATCCCCTATCAGCAAGCACACTGTCCCCTATCAGCAAGCATACTCTTCATACTTCCACAATAATCACTCAAAACTGGCCCTTTTTCATGAAGAAGCCTCACAGTACTCACCCTTTGGACTGGCCATTGGCTCTGTTCTCAGCAAACTTGAGTTCCACCACATCATAAACACCCACCGAACGGATTATTCGAGTCAACTGCTGGTCAGTTGTCCACTGCATATGAACAAGTGTAACAGTACCGTGTTATAACCAGAAGCCATTTGCACAGTTTCCCACCCCTGCATGTTAGTAATGGAAGTAAAGGATCACCAAAGCTCTCCCTTCTCAAACTCCCTTATGGTCACCATTACAATCTAGTGAAGAATGTATGATCTAACCTCCATCTAGAACATATGCTCCCATGAGCTGGAGGAGGCAAAAAACATAGCATATCTTTAATCAAGAACATACCACTTCTAAACTGATGTACATGAAACAGAGATCTTTCTAAATGAATGCTAGATAAAGGAACAGAGAAAAGCAGTTATTTCCCTCCACTCCATACAATTTGATTTCCTCAGGTATCTATCTCCCTTATAAATAAAAGTCGAATGGTGGTGGCACTTCTCTAGAACATTCCACACGCTCCAAAATCAGTTCGCTCTCTGATCTGTCATTCAGAGGGTCTCCTTATCCACTGGCTGCTTTGCCTGAGTCCTGCCTCCAACATTCTAAACATTTTGCTAATTCTCTCCCCCCACAGCCAGTCAGAACACAGAGGTTATTTGCATATGCAGCCTCATTGGCTTCTGCCTCGGAACACAGAGGTCATTTGCATATGTAACTTGATTGGCTTTTGCCTCTAACATTCTAAACAGTTTTGCTGTTCTGAGGTAAAATGTGTCCAATCTCCAGGTGAGGGCTGGAGATCACTCAGAATTACAACTGCTTTCCAGACAGCAGAGATCAGTTCCCCTGGAGAAAATGGTGGGCTCTGTATCCTTATATGCTGCTGAGGTGGCCCCCGTCTGACAGCCAATGTGACGTAGCAGTCAGGGCTTCAGAGCAGGGGAGAGGCTGCAGGTGTGTGGGGGTGGAAAGCCGAAGAGTGAGGGGGAAAGAAAGGTAGGTTGATGATTGGGTGGGAAGGAGACAGGGTTGCCAACTCCAGGTGGGAAATTCCTGGAGATGTGAGGGATGGAGCCTAGAGAGGGTGAGGTTTCAGGAGGCGTGGGACCTCGGACAGGTACAAAGACATAGACTCCACCCTCCAAACCAACTATTCCCTTCTGGGGAACCATCGTTGCCAATCTCCAGGTGAGGGCTGGAGATCACTCAAAATTACAACTGTTCTTTAGGTAGCAGAGATCAGTTCCTCTGGAGAAAATGGCGGACTCAGTGTCATTATACCCTGCTGAGGTTACCACAGCAAATTGACACTGAGTGTCCAAGGCCAGGGCACCTGCCTACAACCCACAGCCTCTTTCTAGGCCTTTTTCCTAGTTAATTATACTACCTGACTTCCATCAGTACAGTGTACAGACCCTGGGCTGAATCCCTGTCCTTTCAGATGTGACTCTTCCCTGACTTGCCTTTCCCACAGAATCCCTATGATCCTGGAAAAAGCATCACTGATGAATCCTCATAGATAAAACCTGTACAGCACAGAGGGCTACAGTACGTGTGTGGGGGGGGGGGCGCGGCAGCAAAATCATCACTCCATCAGTAAAGCTCCCATTGATGTGAGTGCTTTACTGGTGGAAGGGGGGGTGATTTTGAACAATTACCCCTCTTGCAGCCTCCCATACTGTGAAACGTTTTGGCCACAACAGTTCCCAAACCACACTAAGCCTCTAAGGGTCATAGTGGCTGCTTTGGAAAGGGAAAGATCTGCTTGTTGAACTCACAGTTCACAGGATCCCACTCCTTGAATCCCAATACAAGGGTCCAACTGCTGGTTCCAGCACATTTTTAACTATCAGCAAATTTGTAAAAACACCTATATTTTATACTCTCTGTGGAATCATCATGGTTTATATTTCTGATTTTTTGTGCCAGTCTAGATCTCTTTCCTCAAGACAGGACCTGGCTTTTTCTACAGAGACTCATGGTGGCTTACAATAAATAATGCAAATAAAGTATTTCTGCTGTAAAGCATTCTCAGACAACCATACGTCTATTTTGGTGAACATTAACCGAGTTACCTGAGCCATTATACAGGCATGGATCACTGCTCTATTGGTAACTGTGGTTCTACATAAAAAGCAAGTGGCAGTTAGATCATCTTTATGCAACAAGAATTGCTGTTTATAACTCTGGCTGCAAAACCAGTAAGAAGTAAGACGTATGCAACAAGAACTTCCAGGACAGAGTAAATCTGCTGTACCCTTTACTTCCTATCTTGAACGAGGAACACACTCACCCAGGAAAAGCTGCCCACATAAACAGCAGCTCTCTTATTACGCAGTCCACTGTAGGTGTACAGGATGGCAGGCGATTTGCTGTTTGGCTTGGGAGATTGTTCTTGACGGCTTTCAGGTGGTGGCTCAGAACTGCTGGTACAGCTTTCAGAAGGCTGGGAACTGGCAGCTAGCACATCGTCATACAGATCCATCTGATCAGCATTACTAAACTCAGAGTCCTAGGAGACAGAAAACACCACTGAGCATATCCAGAGCCAGTCCTCCAGCAGCTGGATTTTATGGCTTTCCCAGGGATCCAACTGAAGTGGATGTAATCCAACCCTCCTTTCTACAATGTCTAAAAACAAAACAAAACTGGCTCTTCAGAAAAAAGGTTATGTCTTGGAGCCAACACTCAGTTTCTGCCAGTGGAAGGGCACATCCACTACCAGGGTGGGGTGGTTTCCAACTCCCTTTCCACTGCAGAGTCCACATTATGACAAGTACTGTTTTGGGTGGGGAATCCTCCAACTCGTGGGGCAAGGATGATAAGCTGTAGTGGGAAAGACATGAAGATTCCATTCTGCAAGCACAGACCAAAAACACAGCATATGAACTCCCTCTGACAACACAGCCCACAGAGCCCTAATGTCCTTTGCTCTTCTGTCACAAACTTCTGAAAATGACACTAAATACTGAGCAGTTCTAAGTGCTGCTTGCCTGTTCATCTTTGAAAGAGCAGTTCAACTTACTGTTCCAGCCTTAAGTATAAGCACCGGCACACCTTAGTTGCGGCACATTTTAAGAAACAAGTTTGTATCATGACTTAGAGGAGACTGGCCTCTACTATGTTTTTCTTCAAGGAGTTAAGTATTATCAAAAACAGCCAGAAAATAGGAATTTATTCTCATGCTGCACTTAAAAAAAACACCTGTCTAAGAATCGACATATCATATAAGATTCATAAATTAAGAAAGAGTGGAACATCAACAACTTGATAGCAGGAGGTCCAAAACTGTGTACAGTGGTATATATAGTTCTCACCTGTCTACACAAGAGGAGCAAAAGTAGTAAGCAAATGAGAATGGTTACTGTGTGGTCAGATGCACAGCAGCAAACACTGGTCTATGTATACAGCTTAACACATGAAATATCTCTGAATATTCAAAACTGTTAAGATTGCTTGCCACAGAAGTTCATGCAAGAGAAAATCAAACAAACTAACTCTGGCATTAATAAAACCAAATTCCACCTTTTACCTTATAGTACCAACATTATATTAGAATACAGAGTACAGTAGATAATGCCCCCAAATCTAAATCAATTAACATAGTTACAATTCTCTTTTGTTGTTTTCATTTCAATTTTAGGTAAAGGTTCCCTTGCTCGAAAGCCAGTCGAATCCAACTCTAGGGTTGCGGTGCTCATCTCCGTTTCAAAGCCGAAGAGCCAGCACTGTCCGAAGACGTTTCCGTGGTCATGTGACTAAACACCAAGGCGCATGGAACGCTGTTACCTTCCCACTGAAGTGGTACCTATTTATCTACTTGCAATTTCTTGCATTCGAACTGCTAGGTTGGCAGGAGCTGGAACTAGAGACAGGAGCTCACCCCGTCTTGCGGCACCCGGGTCTTGAACTGCTGAACTACTGACCTTCCACAGCCTGCAGTTCAGCATCTTAACCACTTGAGCCACCGCAGCAATTTTAGCATGACTAAATTAAGTGAGATCAAGAGCACTGCACTGGGATGTTTTTTACAGCCATCAGAAGACTTTCAATGCCCCAGTGAGAAAAATGTTACTAATGTGCCTGATTATCTAACAAGAGCAAGGGGTTGGATCTTATCGCCTGCAATAAAGGTGGATTTTTAAGGGCTACAGTAAGGAAGGGGAATTGGGTGCAATTACTCTCCCTCTCGAACATGAAACTGAGCAAACTTCAAAGGACGGCGGAAGACAGGAGGGCCTGGCGGGAGCTGGTCCATGGGGTCGCGAAGAGTCGGACTCGACTTTGCAACTGAACAACAACAACAACTCTCCCTCTACCTTGCACTAATAGAGCAAGTCCTCTTCTAGCACGGATGTTGTGGGGAGGGAGCAAAGTTCCCTTACTTTCCCTCCTTAGTGCAGCTCCCCGTGCCACATTTTCTCCAGGAGGGTTTCTGACCCTCCACACTGACTTTTAGGGAGTCAATGGGGACTGCTGTAGAAAGAGGGGACAATCCACCGCCACAAACTCCTTGTGCCAGACACCAAGATCAAACCCAGTGTTACGTACCTATGCTTGTCCAAATATACACTACGCAACTTACAAATTGCAATACTAATAATACTGTATATCAGATGAATTATATGTAAAGAGGCAAAATTTGAACAGATTTGGGAAGCACTGGGAATTTTTTTCTTCTTTTTTTGAAAACAAATAGAAATTTTGGAAAAATCAACATATATCAAATATACTGTCTTATGAAACCCCAACTCTTTTGCTAAACAACAAGAAATACATAATTTATAACTTAGTATATAAAATTGTACTATTTGACAGTTATGGAATTTAAATGTTGTCATTTTCTACTAAAAAATGGAATTATGTCCAATACTTGAGAAAGAGATCCTAAATTGCTGCCTGGCTAAGAATAAACAAACTGAAACGAAACCTGGAAAAGACAGGGGGTAATGCTGGTCGGGAAGGCAGTGTTCTTGAAGGACACAACGCTCCCCACTTCTGATGGAAATGCTCCTACTTCAAAAAATATTGAATAAAAAAGTCAGACTTTTTAATGTTATAAATTTGGAACAAGTGAAATGCTTTTTAGGAAAACTTTTCCTCATGTGAGAAAATATTTCACTTCCCCCCCCCAGTGCTCTCCAAAATCTCCCCATTTTTTCACTGAAAAAAATGAAAGCGGAAACAGGCTTTCCCCAAGCGTTTGTTTTTTCTCCTAGCCTCCACATGCATATTGATATGCAATACTAAAACACACTTTAGCAATGCATAGAATGTGTAAGCAACGATATGCATTACAAGGCAATAAACAAATCAACCCATAACAATATGGGACTATCATATTAGCCCCCAGCAGCAAAAAATACAATCACACATGCAGCAATGAAGAAGAAAACACTGCTCTCCTAATGTGGCATGTTCCATTACAACACCCACACATAAGTAGAAGATCACGCCTTCCGGTCGACGGAACAGCGATGGAGGACGCTCACCTCACAACGGAGGAGGGCGAATCGCACACCAGCGGCCTGGAGGGGTGCCACCTCAAGTGACACCCCCGCGGAGCCTTTGCGATAGGCTCCAAGGCTTTTGAGGGGTAGCCTCTTCGATGGCGTAATGCTGGAGAATTGAGGCTCCCCTCTGCCCCGATGGTCCAGTTGCTGAGTGGCCTTCGGGCATAAGCTGGACTGACCGGGACAAGCGCCAGAGATCGAGCGGAATGGCGTAAAACCGAGCGTGGTCAGATAAATTGGCCAACAATGAAAGTGAGTTCTGAATAAAAATGGAGTAGTTTGAAAAGTGACCCCCCCGTGTTTTGAGAGACTTATCTGAATTGCGAAGCCGTTTGGCGAGTTTTCCAAGTTGTGGGGAAGCGGCAGAAACTGTAAACAAAACGGGAAAGATGGCAGCCCAGCAGTGAAAGTTTAAAACGAAGCCGGGTGGGCAGAGTCCGAGACCAGAAGAGGGAGCAGATGTCCTCAAACTCCTGGCAGATATGCTCAAGCCAGTGATGGAACAACTCGATGGTATTAACCAGCAATTGACTGTGATTAATAAAAACTTTGTGGCACAGCAGCTTCAGCTGAACGAGATGGAGAAAAAAGTGGAGCAGGCAAACGAGAAAATTAAAGAGATTGACACCAGAAGTAAGAAGTTGAAGAAAAGGATGGGAGAGGTGGAAATGATGCAGAATTGCCAAGAGAATCGAGTCTTGCAGTTTCAGATGGAAAACGCTAACATGATTCTCAGGTTTCAGGGGGTTCCTGAAACGGATCGGGAAGACTTGAAGAGGGTGCTCAGTGAGATCATCGCTCCAGTAGTAGGCTTAACAGCGGATGAACTGGTAAACAAAATGGAGACAGCCTATAGGGCTTACTCCAACTATATTAAAAAAATAGCCTACCTGGAGAAATAGTGGTCAAGTTTTCAAGAAGACAAACCAGAGATGCCATTTTAAAAGGAACATCAGCAACTCAACTGACAATGGGAAATGTAACCATTAAAACTTTAAAGGACAGATGAGTCTAAAGAGGGAGAATCGAAGTCGAGTGACTCTGCTACCTCAGGAACGGAAGAGGATTCTGCGGCAGAAAAGGGTGCAGGACCTGCCAGAGTGGTATACGATTTTAGAGACAGAAAGCTGAAGCAAAGGCAGAAGGACTTGGAAAATGGCCTTTTGAAGCAAAGAATAAGATGATCAGAGACTTCTCTCATAACAACTAACAAAATAACATACAAGAAGCGAATTGTTATAAGAACTCAACAAGTATATTGTGATAATAAAACTAATGGTACTAACATATTTACTAACAGTGAAAAGATCTCCTTCTCTTGGGGGTTTAGTCTAGTGTGGTTTGCTTTTCTTTATCCCTAGTTGTAGTCCCTCCCCTATATTTCTTTGTCGTTTGTAGTATATGCAAAATAAAAAATTCCCACGGGGATTTAAAAAAAAAAACCCTATAAGATCACCACCACCACTGTTATACAACGTAAGTATTTCAGGTACTTCAGACACACGTTACCTTTCTGTAATCCTTAAAACAGGCCTTTAAAGTGGGCCTGCATTATCATTCCCTTGTGGTGGTGGTGGTGGGGGAGTTGAAAGAGACTTCCTTGAAACCAACTAGTGAATTCACAGCAGAGACAAGATTTCAACTGAGGATTGTCAAAACCACCCCTTACTCCCCTAGCCAGTATGCCACACCGGCTTCCTAAGTTAAAGTTGCTGCTGTGGTGTCCTGGAGGCTCTTCCAGGGGCATGAGAGAACTGATTCTAGTTGCTCCTGGTGAAATCTTGAAAGATTACACGAAATGTGTTGGAGGTGGGGGACAAAGGAAGAATGAGAAAAAAAACTTGTATGCTATTTGACTATCTTATTAAAACGTTTGATTTTATTACACATTTTAAACTATATAAAAGGTCTAGAGATCATTCCCTTAGTTTAGCTAGGAATAAGACTGCAGCTTTAATCCGTTTTTTTTAATTTAATAGGTAATCAATTTGTTCCGGCA